GAGTTAACAATACAGACTGAACAAGAACACATCTCCTAGCAGATGAATTGTATAATTAGCAGGAAAATCCATCAAATTGCTCTATGCATTCAAATGAGCAGGTCATGGAAGTTTTTTGAGGTTTATTTTTTCTGTGGAGGCAACAACAGTGCACATTCTGCACATTTCACAGTTTGTGTTTGGTATCAAAGAGAGATGCATTAACAGCAAACTAGGAGTTGTGTACAAATCAAAAAGGTGTGCAGAGTGGACAGATTCGGAAAGCTGAAGGATCCTAATGCATGTAGGACATGCAACAACATCAGTGATACCTGTATCCCCTTCCTCCATCCCATTTTCCTAAAAAGAAGTGAAACCAGAACTTACAAACTCACTCTATAATAAAATATTCCTGTAATTTATGCCAATACTATACCTAGGCTTTTTAGTGTGCTTGCCTTTCATAGTGTGAGGGAAGCAAAGACTGGTTTAGAGGAGCAAAAGGGACAAAGGTGCCCCTGCTGTACCTGCAAATGTTTAAAGGGCATGTGCCTGCCTCAGATGGAAACTGGGGGATTCCCAAAAGGGATGACACAGTCATGACCTGAAGGAACATTTCAGGGTGCAACAAAGCCAAGTCCAGATAAATCCAAAACTTTTGTGGCTTTTTTGTTTCACAAACATGTCCCTGGTAAAAAACACTGAAACTAGAGGGGCTGCATGTCAGTGCCCTGTGCCAGCTCAGTGTCACTCCAGCAGGAACTGCAATTTTCCAGACCACTTGTTATGCACAATTTCAGTGTTGTAGTCATTAGAAAGACTCCCTGTTAATTTCAAGCTCTCTCATGCTCCTCACTGGGCCCTCAATAAGAAGCAAAAGCCAGAAAAATACAGGTAAAAATGGTAAGTATCAAACTTGACTTTAAAAGTTCTTGCATGAAAACATATTCACATCTAGATTCTGTATTCCTTAGCTCAGCTTCAGGGAGTTTTGTGACTGATTTAGTCACATTGACAAAGCTTGACCCTCCATCACTTTCCAGCAATCTTATCTGTTCTATAACTCAGCCAGGGAGCCAAACAATGCCCCCTGTAAGTCAGATTGTCTTGTGTCAGTCAGTTCTCATGTGAGTACCATGAACATCGGTATGCTACCTGCCAGTCACACATACTTCACACCTGCTGTCAAAGTACACTGAAAGCTTGCTTTGTTTGATCAGAAAATCCACAACCGTTCTTACCAAGAGAGAGAATCTCACTTTATAATTAGTGTCATCCACACTATACTCTAATAGTTATGCTTACCAGTGTAATGACAGAATGATGCTACATACACCAAGGTCATCTAACCACAGGTAAGAGAGTGTGGCATTGTACTCTGGTACAGATGCTGGGCACACAAAAAGAGAGCAGAATTTGAAAAGGGATGAATGAAAAGAAAAAGAAAAGAGATATGAAAATTATAAATGGCAGACTGACATAGCCAAAGAAGGTGAAATAGGGGGAAAAAACAGGAACAAATTTCACAGGGAAAAAAAAAATCCCCAAGATATTCTATCTAAATTAAATTGTTGTTATAAGTATCTTAAAATATTTTTTTAAAAAAATGTGTTAAAAATTGGTGCCCCAAGAAGAAGTTCTGCAAGCCTTTAACAGCGTGGTTGTCCATTCAGTGCACATACAGGAACAATCAGTGTAAGCTTAGGCCAGTTGTGCATGTGACAACACAGAACTGGGATTTTTACTCAAACAAATGTTTAACAGCCTTAAAGGCATTTGACAGCTACATCACAAACCTTCTGAGAGCACAGCTATCTATTTCACCTTCTGTTCAGTTTGTGGAAGACACAGTTAAGAGAAAGTACAGCCAGATTTCTGCAGAAAGAGTCTGTTCAACAGTAAAGTTTCTTTATGTACCATGTACCAGCTGCTTTGGATCATCCTATAAGGTAAAGCTTCCAATACCAATCTTCTATCATGAGGCATTTTAACCCCAGAGTGGAAACCTGAAGAAAGCAGTACAACAAAATGCTTGACAGAAGAAACTGCAAAACTTCAGGGTTTGTCTGGCTAATAGAAAGGGAACAGTTTAGGAACACAGGCAAAATAAAAGGCTGTATACTCCAACTGAGAGTGTATTTTTCAAAGACTGAATAATTCTGCCCCCCTCCTGATTTCAAACACAGACATTCTTTAGAGTGGATAAGAACTGTAGTGCACCTGTTTCACTTAAACCCATTAGAACTTATTAATTTTTCTCTGGGAATGACCTTCCCTACCCCACCACAAGCCTGAGCAAGAGAAGATGCAGAGGAATAAGGTGCTGTAAAATGAACTCACCAGGAAAAGCAAACAGAACTTTGATTTCACTCTCCATGATGTCCAAGCTGGGACACATCTAGTTCTCCTTTAGCTCTGAGAGGAAGGCACGACTGAGGGAAGAAACAAAGCTTGAGTTGTCTAAGTGTAAAAATATATACAGCATGCTTTAAAGGAATTATGGAATTTCATTCTGATACCTTGTATTGTTTCACCTAATAATAAAACTCAAATTATTCCACCCCCTAGGCTCAGTCTTGTCCAGTTTCTGGTCTATTTCATGTACCAATAATGCAAATTCCTCCATCCCACCTCCACTCTTGCCAGCTCTTCCCCCTAATTTTCCTTTCTCCTTAATAAAGATGAAATATCTTAAGCAAGCACAGGCTTGCTTAAGATTCTAAGATCTCCCTTTCTGGATTTTCTTTAAAGGGCTTTTACAGGAGAAGAATAAGGCACATTATCAAAACCATTCCCAGCTCAGTTTGCACATTTCATTACGTTTGTCCTTTCCCTTTAAAAATGAGAAATTTCACTACAGAAAGAATATCTAAGTATAAATTTGCAAAAGCCCCTTTGCCAGTAGACCTACCAGTTCCTCTAAACAGGGACTGGGGAGAGAGAGCAAGGAAATAAAAAAAAATTTCCCTTTCAGATAGTTTTCTCCTGAAGGTCACCAAGATCCTTTTTTTTTTTTTTTTTTTTTTTTCATTCTGGTGGTTCTGGGTTTTTTGAACGGCCTTTTTTGTTAGGAAAGGGACAAAGAAGAAACCATCTTAAAATCAAATCCTCTTCTTTATACTAGACCTGTACACCTTTACTCTTACTGAAGGGACTTTTTTTCCCCCAGTAATTAATCTAGTTGTTTTCTACTTGCTAGCTCCCCTTTCCATATTTAAGCATGTCTTACAGGCTGTCAGGAGCCTAGTGCTCTGCCATGAACAGATTCAATCAATTTTTCAAATATAAAAGTTTCCTCTTACTTCCATCTCAGGAAACACTTGTACAACAGTACAAGTACCTTGACCAAAACCTTTCTTCTATCCCTTTTGAAGCAGGTTATTTCCTTGTGGTGTTACTAGAATGACAGCGAAGGAAAGAGGCAGGAGGCACCTGCAGACATTACCTTATGAGATATAAAATCAGGCACTTGAAGGTTTAGTGAGAAAAACAATTCAAGTGCAAAGTAAAATTAGGACACATTCAAAGCGAACTCATTACTCACAGAAAAATAAACACCAAGGAAGGAAAATTCTTCCTTCCAGCACAAGAGCCGGCAAAATTACACATTTCTTAGCCAATAGTCAGCTGTGACACTAAACTGCTTGTGTGAGGGCTTGTGAATCCTAGACCTTAAGCAGCCAAAAGGCAGCTGGCTTTGGCCACTGGGTCCCCTGGGAGTCCCCGAGGTCAGTGACAAGTTCTACGAGCACAGGGGATGGCAGAAAAGCTTTCACAAAGGGTCAGTCAGACAGCAGGACTCTGAGCCCTGAGCTCTACACTTGCAGCAGGATTTCAGGGCTAGAGGATGGCATGGTCGCCCTGCTGAGTTACTCAGTTTCCAAAACTGCACCTTCAAACCGGAGCCACAGACAGACGGACGCACTCGACTGCTGCGCCGATGCAACACCGTGCTATTAACAGATGACACTATGTTATTAATAACATTCAAACACGAGTGCCATGCCTGCAATTGCCGCTCGTTCCGTTGCCACCCTCAGCAATGGCAGCCCCATGCCCGCCCGTGTGGAGCCGTGCAGGCCGGGCCAGGCAGCGCTGGCAGCACAGCGGGGCGGCTCCATCACCGTGGGAGGAGGCGGAATTGTCAAGGTTGGAAGGCACCTCTGGAGGTGATCCAGTGCAACCAACCCCCCTAGCAAGGCAGGGTCACCTGGAGCTGGTGATAAGGGAACGTGTCCAGGTGAGAGGGAGAGCCATGACCTCCCAGGGCAGCCTGTCCCGCACTGTGTGTCAGCTTTTCCTCGTGTCGAGGTGAAACTCCTTGTGTTTTAGTTTATGGCCATTGCTCCTCACCCTGCTGCTGGGAAACACCGGAAAGAGCCTGGCACCATCCTCTTGGACATATTTATATGAATTGATGAGATCTCCTGTCAGGTCTCTTCTCAGACTAACCAGGCCCAGCTCCCGAGTCTCTCCTCACAGAGATGCTCCAGACCCCTCCTCACTTTGTGCCTCCGCTGGACCCTCTCCAGCAGCTCCTTGTCTTTCTTGTACCAAGAAGCCCAGAACTGGACATATTCACCTCAGGAGGGACTGAAAAACTACTTTTATTTCAAGAAAAAGCAAAAAAGATAATCTGGCGTGCAAGAAGCCTCTGGATCAGGGTCGAATTCACTTGATTTCATTAACAATAAGGCCTGTACTACCACTTTTACAGCGCTATGACTCTGAGCTCTTTGAACCCCCTATCCCCACTCTGTCCTCATCCTCTGTCCCCGTCCCCGCCCCTCTGTCCCTGCCCGCCCCTCAGGCTCGGTCCCCGCCCCTCAGGCCCTGTCCGCCCCTCAGGCTCGGTCCCC